CGGTGGGTAATTGTCCGGTGGGTAATTGTCCGGTGGGTAATTGTCCGGCGGGTAATTGTCCGGCGGGTAATTGTCCAGTGGGTAATTGTCCAGGGGGTAATTGTCCGGCGGGTAATGGTCCGGTGGGTAATTTTCCGGTGGGTAATTGTCCGGCGGGTAATTGTCCAGTGGGTAATTGTCCAGGGGGTAGTTGTCTTAGAATCATATTTTACCCGCCTTAAGAAATATTAAATGTTCAGAAATACATTTTATGATGATATAGTATACCTATACTGTTTATGCCAAAACTGCAATAAAATGTATAATTTACCATCATGTACCCTAAACATAAATGCTGCTGTAAAAACTCGTTCCGATTTCTCGTTGTGTAAACTGTGCAAACATGTGCAAACTGTAGCAAAAACATCACCGCGATCGCTAAAAATGTTAGCGTGTGGCAAGAACGTTACAGTGCCAGAAATATAAGACGGTTGTCACAAGTGTAACTCATGAATTAAACTGTCAAGCCGGTTGTCTGCATTGCCACTGTATTAGACCTGACTATATATCGGTTGTATCCCAAATCGGGCATGAAGCGGTACTATACGTTTCTTATTTGAAAATTATATTGTGCAAGATTTAACGAAGATTTAATTGCGTTAGGTGCGGTTAGGGTGCGTTAGGAATGAAACTTGAATGCAGATATTGAATATGTCGCGGCAATGCTTTTCAATACGGTCCTTACAGCTTCTCCGAAATCATGATATATCAATCCTGACTTCCGGTTAAATGCTGTTGTGTAATCATACCACATGATAGAGATCCCATTCATGTAGGCCCTACCCCTGATGTTATGTACCACAGTGGTAAATTATTCACAGTTGGCGGTTCAAAGTATCCCATAGAACAGTAAAAGCTATGTAGCGAAATTTGATGAAACCCCCTGAATGGACATTTCAATGTAGAATATATATTTCATTAATTCAGATCATGTTTTATAATTAATTTTGTCAATATATTTTCGCGAAATACACAATAAACGCGCAGTTCGTGTCTAAAACTGAAAGCTAGGCTTCGTGTATGTTTCTCTTCGCCGCTAGACAAATGCACACTACCAAAATCCTAACAAAAATACGCGCGTCCCTATCGTTGTTAGGTGTCCAGACTTAAAATCGGACCGATCGGTATCCGTCCAGGGTTTCTACCGGACGGACATTACCCGGAGATGTGCTAGCGTGGTTTGTTTTCGCACAGTACGCATTTAGATGTGAATGTCGGGTGTTTGTAAATAATGCCCCTAGCTGTCAACTGTTTTGGCGAGTGG